TGTGTAGTGGTATCTCATTGTTTTAATTTGCATCTCCTTGATGACACATGATGTAGAGAATCTGTTTATATGCTTATTTTGTATCTGCATATTTTCTTTGGTGAGTTACCTGTTAAGGTCTTTGGCCCATGTTTTAATCAGGTTATTTGTTTTCTCAATGTTGAGTTTTCAGAGTTCTTTGTATATTTTGAATAACAGTCCTTCATCAGATGTGTCTTTTGCAAATATTTTTTCCCTGTCAGTGGCTTGTCTTCTCATTCCCTTGATGTTGTCTTTTTCAGAGCAGAAGTTTTTCATTTTAATGAAGTATGGCTTATGAATTATTGCTTCCATGGATCTTGCCTTTGGCATTGTTTCTAAAAAGTCATCACCATACCCAACGTCATCTAGATTTTCTCCTATGTTATTTTCTAGGAGTTTCATATTTGTTGTTGTTTTTTATTTGTTGCTCTTGTTTTGTGTTCCTAATTTTTTCTCTTCCGCTCTTTTATCTTCCACTCTTTTTCTGCTTTTTGTGGTTTTAATTCAACATTTCATATGATTTCATAGCATATCAGTTATAGTTCTTTCTTTTTTAGTTCTTTTGGTTGTTGTCCTAGAGTTTGCGGTATACATTTACAACTACCAAAGTCTACTTTCAAATAACGCTATACCACTTCACAGGTAGTGTGAGTACCTTATAATAACAAAATAATCCTAACTCCTCCCTCTGGTCCTTTATATCATTGCTGTCATTCATCTCACTTACAAATTAGCATTAGCATATAAGCATATATGTTAGTATTAGCATACACAAGCATATATATATTACATAATATACACAAGCATAATTGATTACATCATTGCTATTATTATTTTGAACAAACTGTTATCTGTTAGATCAATTAAGAATAAGAAAAATAAAAGATTTTATATTACTTTCACTTATTTCTTCTTTGGTGCTCTTCTCTTCTTTACGTAGATCTGAGTTTCTGACGTATATATTTTTCTTTTCTCAATGAAACTTCTTTTCATATTTCTTGCAGGCAGGTCTACTGGCAATAAGCTCCCTCAATTTTTGTTTGTCTGAGAAAGTTTTTATTACTCCTTCACTTTTGAAGGATAATTTCACACGGTAAAGAATTCTATGTTGGTGGATTTTTTCTCTCAGCAATTTAAATATTTCACTCCACTCTCTTCTTGCTTGCATGGTTTTTGAGGACATGCAATAAACATAATTCTTATGTTTATTCCTCCATAAGTAAGATATTTTATCCCTCTGGCTTCTTTCAAAGTTTTTTCTTTGATTTTCTGTGGTTTGAAAATGATATGCCTAGGTGTAGATTTTTGGCATTTATGCTGCTCATTCTCTGAGATTCCTGGATCTGTGTTTTGGTGTCTTACATTAACTTGGGGAAATTCTCAGTCACTGTTTCAAATATTTCTTCTGTTCCTTTTTCTCCTTCTTCTCCTTCTGGTATTCCCATTGTGCATATGTTATAACTTTTGTTGTTATCCCACAGTCCTTGGATATTCTGTTTGTTGTTTTTTTTTTTTTCCCTCAGTCTTTATTCTCTTTGCTTTTTATTTTGGAGATTTCTATTGAGATAGCCTCATACGCAGAGATTCTTGCTCAGCCATGTCCAATTACTAAGACGACCATCAAAGACATTCCTCATTTCGGTTACATACTTTTTATCTCTAGCATTTCATTTTTGTTCTTTCTTAGAATTTCCATCTCTCTACTTACATTGCCCATTTGTTCTTACATGTTGTCTACTTTGTCCATTAGAGCCCTTAAATACCTTAAAACAATCATAGTTGTTTTAAATTCTCAGTCTGATAATTCCAACATCCTTGCCATGTCTGGTTCTAATGCTTAATTCGTCTCTTCAAAATGTGTTTTTCACCTTTTCACATGCTGGGTAATTTTTTCCTGATAGTCAGACATGATGTGCTGGGTAAAAGGAACTGCTGTAAATAGGCCTTTAGTAATGTGGTGGTGAGATGTGTGTGTGTGTGTGGTGGGGGGAGCATACGATAATCCTATGATTAGATCTCAGTCTTCTAGTGAGCCTGTGCCTCTGGACTGAAACTACACAGGTGTTTTTCACTTTTTTTCTCCCCTCTTTAATGGGACAGGATAGCTAGAGTGATTGCAGTTAGATATCTCCCTTCTCCCATGTGCAAGGCTAGGGTTAAGGAGAGTTGCCTATTTCCCCTCCCTCAGGTCAGTTAGGCTCTGATAATACCCTGCAGGTTAGGCTCTGTTTAATTAATTTCTCCTGAGAGCAGGGCTTGTTAAGATCAAAGTGCTCTGGCATGTTTCAAAATAGTTCCTCCCCGCCAAGCCCTGCTGGAAGCACAAGGGGATTTTTCGTGATATTTACTGTGGGAATCTGGCTGAACTCCTGTAGGTAAATCTCATAATGTTGTGCCCCTCTCTCCCCAAGACAGAGTTCCCTGGAGTTTTTAACTCTCAGACTTGTCCACAGTAAGCCTCTAACAATTTGTCAATAAAAGTCCAGATTTTTCTACGCCAGCACTGGTTCCCACCGTGCTTTCTGCTGTTGAGTCAGCTCCACAAAGCCATTATTGCTCCCTGTATTCACCTGTCTGTCTCTCTAATCTTGGAGGCAGCAATTTTCCCTGTGTCCTATCCTCCCTTATGTATCCAAGAAGCATTATTGATTTTTCAATCTGTTCAGCTTTTTACTTGTTGTTAGGATGGAGTGGTGACTTCCAAGCTCTTTACATGCCAAACCAGAAACTCTGTACGTGTATTTTTTTATGTATATATCTTCCCACAAAGAAAGCAACAAATTCAGATGACTTCACTGATAAATCCTACCAAATATTCAAGTAAGAAATAAGAGAAACCTTATACAAACCCTTCTAGAGAATAGAAAAATTGGAGATACCTTCCAACTTGTTTTATGAGGCCGACATAAACTTAATGCCAAAACTAATGAAGAACATTAGATGGAAGGAAAGTAACGGGTGAATTTAATTCATACAGAGAGAAGCAACTATCTTAAATTACTAATATACTAATCCAGCAATATATAAAAAATACGATCAACTATATTGTGTCTATTCTAGGAATGGAGGTTTAACAATAGAAAATCAATTAATGTAATTTACTTCCTTATCAGAATAAAGCAGGAAAATCATATACAGAGAAAGCCTTGATAAAATTCAACAACCATTTATGAAAAGTACTCTTAGCTAAGTACAAATAGGTGCAAACTTTCTCATTCTAATAGAGGGTTTTAGCAAAAAGCTTATAGCAAACATTGTTATAAAATGTTAAAATATTTTCCACTGAGATAAGGAACATACAACAAATGCCCATTGTTATTTATTTCTCTTCCAAATTGTACTACACATCCTGGTTAAAACATTAAGGCAAGGAAAAAAATGTTATAAGGATTGAAAAGGAAGAAATAAAGCCCCTCATTAGTTGTGGATGATAGGATTACATGTGTAGAATACCCAACGAATCTATAGATTAATTATCGGGACTATTAAGACGTTAGCAAGGATATTGGCATAATGTAATACACCAAAATTTGTTTTATTTCTATAAATCAGCAACACACAAAGATAAAAATTTAAAATATACTATTTGTAATAGCACTGATATATCATATACCAAAGAAGTCTAAAAATAGCCTTTAAGAATCTCAACAAAGAAAACTATAAACCATTATTGAAAGAGAACGTTTTATGATTTTATAGTTAAAGAAGACCTAAATAAAAGACATTGTATATATGTTCATGGATAGGAAGATTCAATATTATAAGACATCAATTGTCCTCAAATTGATCTTTTATGTTCACTGGATAAATCTCATTCAAAATCCCAGCATGCATTTTTTTTTTTGTGGAAATTGATAAACTGGTTCTTAAATTATACTGCTTTTGGCTCAAAAAAAAAAAGGTCAAAAAAAGTATAGAAGATGAAACTGACGTCTGTTTCTCAGGGTCTGTTTACCCTGAGAAGGGGGACCGTCCATCTCCCCCTATGAACGCCAGCTGGAGCACCCCAGATGAAGCATCTCGGACGCTTCATGTGCAAGCCACTTGGGACTGGTTTTAAAAATAACTGGAGATATTCGCCTGCTGAATATGCAGGTTACTCAGGTCACGGTAAATGCTGTGGTTAAGAGGGACCCTTTCACATGGGCACCCCAGATAATCTTGTTGCAAAACCTAAAAATATTTCAGGAAGCCTTATGGACTTTGCTATCTCAGTTTCCTCTCATGAGTCTTACAGATGCTAATAAAAACGTTAATTAACAAGAGAATGGGGAGAGGCGAAGGGGAGAGTCAAGGGAATCTTTCCAGTAAGGTGGAAATTTTTATACGGTTATTAAGAAATAAGGGGAATAAAGTAAATTTTGATAGGAATGAAACAGAGGAAACAGAAGGGGGTCAGTCATGAGACTCATCTCAGCAGGGTGGAGATCTTTAGGTGGTTATTAAGAAATGGGATGATGGGGCAGCCCGGTGGCATAGTGATTAAGTGCACAGGCTTCACTTTGGTGCCCTGGGTTCGTGGATATGGATCCCTGGCGCGGAGCTGTGCAGGGCTCAGTTAGGCCATGCTGTGGCGGCATCCCATACAAAGTAGAGGAAGATGGGCACCGATGTTAGCTCAGGGCTAATTTTCCTCAGCAAAATGAGGAAGATTGGCAATGGATCTTAGCTCAGGGCAGATCATCCTCACTAATGAAAACAAAAACGAAATGGGATGAATAAAATGGACGCCGATGGGGTTAAAACAAAGGTTTTAATACAGCACTGCCAGAAGTTGGGTGGACCAAAGGGACCCCTGTTGGTTCCCCAACATTAAAGGGCACAAACAAGTTGTTCTATTTACCCTAGTTTAGAGAAATTTGAAAAGCCGAAAGGCAGAGATTACAATGACAAACCTGATCAGCAATCCTTAGGGCAGCAGTTAGGCTGATTAATCAAAGTAAGGATTGACAGGGAATCTAAAGTCTTTTGTACGAGAGTGGGTAAAATGGTCAGGGGGTGGAAAAGAGAAATTTTTAGGACTCCTTGATATGGGAGCCTCACAAACTGTGGTACCAAAACCCATTGGTGAAGCCGTTGGGGAGGTGATCCAGAGGAAGTGGCCCTCGAGCTGGATCCGGGCAGTCGGAGACTCCTCACCCCCGCCCCTGTCCTTGGAAGGTACATTCTGCCCACCATTCTGAAAGCGGGAGCCGTTTTCAAGGATGCAGCCTTGAGAGAGGAATGCTATCAAAACCATCTGGACTGTATATGTGACTGAACCCAGGTAAGGCCACTATATAAACTTTAAGATTCTGGTGGGCGTGTGTAGAGATTTATTTGTTTTGCAGCCACCCATGACAAGCCTTGTATATAAGTTCCCTTGCTTATTAAACCTGCCACCTACCAATCTGGAGTGGTCTGCCTCTTTCTTCCATCTCTCCTTGCCCTCCATTTACAGGAGGTTAGCAGTAAAGGAAAGTAATCCAAATCTCTGCAGGTTAGTACTAGATAGAAGAATCATCTTTTACTTGAAATTGTCTTACTTCAGTTACTGCTGCTACCACCATGCTGGCTTCTCTGTTCTTAATTCCTTGGCCCAGACACAGATAAAAACTCTTTCCCCTAGTTTCCTTTACAACAGCTGAGATAATCTGGAAATTTCGGAGAGTCTTTACTAAATATTAAGAAATAGTTTACCAAAGCCAGCATACTCCTGTGCCTGGGAGCCCTGTTCTCTTCTACCTGCTGTCTTGAGATATCTTTATTAGCCCCAAAGGACTAAAACAAATTGAAGACCCCTAGCCTGAATTATTTTCCTTATCTACTCTTTTATTGATAAGGGAATTCACTGAAAAATGGCACGTGAAAGAAAATACAGAGCATGTTTGTGGAAGAGGAAGAAACAATGCTCATTCTCATCCAGGGGTTTCTTTAACCAAAATGCTGCTGCTCCTGTCACTTGGCACTTGTGATGCTAGAGGCTCCAGCTCCATTCCCGCTTCCCTAAAAGAACACTGCCCTCTACCACAGCTCTTTTCAGAAGGTTAAATGTCCTGCCTGCTACCACTTCACATTGCTCATTTCTACAAATGACGAATGCCCGGGACAGTGTAGACAATCATGGAGTCAGGGAGAGGTCGGAGAAAAGGAAATGAGGCTATTCATGATTTATGAGGTCATGATATTATTGATTTTAATGATTTAGGTGTGAGGTTGGTAAAATCATAAGCTCCTGAACTTGGCTAGAGATAATGAAAAAGGGAAAGGGAGGAGAGGAGGGGAGGAAAGGGTGGATGGGTATAAGAGTTTCATTAGGATTTATTGATTGATATTGGTGAGTGCGTGAACGGGTAGAGAAGGAGACGGCTGGAGAAGAGGGGTAGACAGCCTATGACAGCCTTTCATTACTCTGAGATCTTGGTGGACTATTCCTACAGACAACTTTCCAAGTTCTCCACCTCAGCCAATGGAATTTTACATTTTACTTCCTACGTGAAAGCTTCTGTGGAATTTAGCCACGAGAAAGTTTTTGCTAGGGTCCCATCCTTTCCTTTGGCTCTCTCTCACTTCCCCCAAACTGCAATTGTTTTCTATTTTCCAGTTATTTGTCTCAAGGGCACTTATATCTGCATTGCTACTATTTTCATCAGACTTTATAAAGAGGAATATTTATAATTAAACTAACATTAAGAATATTTAGCATGCATCAAGTGAATATAGGTGCTTATTAATTAATGCCTTGGATGAGGGTGTCCTAACGCCTAGAGGATTTTGGAAGTAACTCTTTTATCTCAATCACACTCATCTTGTTGTTTTTTCTCTAACAAAACAGGCACTACCTCAGTTCAGAGTATTTATTCTTCTTGTTCCTTCTGCCCGGAATGTTCTTCCCTCAAATGTCTACATGGTTCATTCCTTTGTGATGTTCAAAATCACCTTGTTCCTCACCACTGGATATAAAATAGCAAAGGCCACTGCTCACCCTCCTGCCACTCCCATTCCTGCTTCACCCTGCTCTGTTTTTCACCATAGCACTTATTACCATCTGAGATTCTATGTATTTACTTGTCTATCTGTTTATGATCAGTATCTCCCACTAGAATATGCGCCACAAACACAGGACTTTGTTTCATTCACTGCTGTGTGTCCCTAGCACCAAGGACAGTGTCTGGTACAGCATAGATGCTCCATAGGTGTTTATTGAGTGATGAAAAGAATATTCCTGGGGCCAGCCTGGTGGTGTAGTGGTTAATTTCACACACTCCACCTCGGCGACCCAGGGTTTGCAGGTTCAAATCCTGGGCATGGACTGACACACCTCTCATCAAGCCATATTATGGTGACATCCCAAGTACAAAACAGAGGAAGATGGGCACAGCTGTTAGAACCAAGCTTCCTCAGCAAAAAGAGGAAGATTGGCAACAGATGTTAGCTCAGGGTTGATCTTCCTCACCAAAGAAAAGAATATTCCTATAAAGTATAGAGGAAAGAATTCCATATGAAGAAACTGAAGTCTAGAGAAATTAATCAACTTGATGAATATAACACAACTAACATTAGCAAGTATTATTATCACTGTCATTATTTTAGTTCTATTTTTAAGAACCTATGTTTTAACATCTACATCGGCTCCAACCATCACAGTAACACTACAAGATGGATATCGGGGAAAGTTACATAGATTTCTCAAGCTCAGCTAGCTAATGGGTGGAGGAATAACTTTATGATCATTTGTTATATTTGGACAGAATCCATGTTTCCTGGCTGTTTACCTGCTGGATTGCACTCTGTCTTCCTGTGTCCTTTTGCTTTTTTCCACCTGCTGCGTGCAAATTGAAGAGGTGCAAAATACATCTTTGCATATTGATTAAATGCATTTCAATCTTTTATGAAATGGCCATAAGAGGTATTGAGAGTAGGCTACAACACACCTTGAGAGATAGGTAGTGTATTCGTTTCCTAGGGCTACTGTAACAAAGCACCACAAACCAGGTGGCCTAAAACAACAGAAAGCTATTGCCTCACAGTTCTGGAGGCTAGAAATCAAATATGTCAAAATCAAGGTGTTGGGAAGATGATTCTCCCTCCAAAACCATAGGAGAGAATCCTTTCTTGTCTCTTCCTAGCTGCCATTCTGATGATGGCCAAGGATTGTCCTGGTGTTTCTTAGCTTGCAATGGCATTATTCCAATCTCTGTCTCTATCATCACATGACATTCTCCTGGTGTATTTTGGCTGTCATCTTCTGTATGTACGTGTCTGTGTCCAAATTTCCCTTATTTTATAAGGACAACAGTCATATTAGATTAGGGCCCACCCTAATAGACCTTATCTTAATTTGATTGTATGCAAAGATAGTATTCCCAAATAAGGTCACATTCAGAGATGCCAAGGGTTGGAACTTCAACATATCTTTAGGGGACACAATTCAACCCATAACAGGTGAGGATTATCAGTGTGATAGAATTGCTAATAATGGAATTAAATCATCAGGTTCTTTCTCAATACAGAGCCTTTCCATGTGTTGTCTCCTTTGTCTGCATTACTTTTCTCCCCACTCTCTGCTCACGTTCCAGTGGTGTGCTGGAGTCAGCTCACACCAGCTCATGAGAGCCACTTGTTAAATTTTCAGGATCCAGTTGCTAAAAACAGTAATTATTAAAAATTAAATTGTGTAAACTTACAATTAATTAAATTTAAAACAGAGCTAATAAATTCTCAAAACTGATCATTTCTTAATGATTTTGCTACATTTGACTATTATCTGTCTGTGTTCTTTACATTATTTACATCTATTATATCTGCATAGCAGAAATACAAAATAATGGTTTCATATCTCTTCCTCAGTCCACAATCACTGACATAAACTTGGTAGTTTGAAACCAGCTACAGTGGTAGTAGTTACACCACAGAAAGCAGTTAACACTACAAATCAGGGCTTTTCTTCCCGTGGAAACCAGCTGTTAAACACTTACCAGATACTGCTGGTTAAGTCTCTTACTTCCTTTAGGACTCATCTTTATTTCCTCAGACTGGCTTTCCATAGCACTCATTCAAAGATATTTGTTAAATATTTATGATGCATGTCAGGAATAACTGGATGACCAAAATGATGAGATAATAGATTGGGTTTGGTGATGAGGCAAAGTTAAGGCATGACCACAAGATATTGAATTTCATATTATCTGCTAAGATGTTTAATTTAATTAAGTTTAGGTCAAAACTGAGAGAGTAAATCCCCTGGTATCTCTGTCCTCTGTTACCTTGCACTGCTTATGATTTATGATGGGAAGCATTTACAATCCAATCAGAGGCATGGGACAACTGAAGTAAAGAGAGATGTTTATGATGTATACCTAGCGAGTGGTTCCTAGAATGTGGTAAATTTATTCTAATCATTAGAGTCTGGAAATTGAAGAAAGGAATGCAAATTAGCTTATGGCTTCAATACCTGCTTGCCATGCATCCCAGGGAATCCTTGGGTGACCTCAATGTAAAGAGTTGCATGAGATGAAGGTGGGCTAACCCATCTTAGGACAATAAACGCCTTCTCTGAAAGGATAGATCAACTCTGGGGTGCTCTGGGGTACTATTGAACCTAGGTGATAATGTAGAGAGAGAAGGGAAGGTAGGCATTGTTGCTGGCTTCCAGGCTATAACTAAGTACCTACATGTAGGCAGTATCACCTGTGGTTAGGGAGCAATTCATTCCAACCTCAGACTTAGTTACCAAAAGACCAGACTCAGAAGGCATGGTAGAATGGAAAGAGCAGGGTCTTGAAAGTAGAAGCACTAAGATATTAAAATTAACTCTCCATTTACTAAGTGACATTCAACAATTTATTTAATCTCTCTGCAATTTGGTTTCTTTATCTCTTAAATGGAAATAACAAGACAAACCTCATGGGGTGGCAGAGCCTCTGCTAACCTTAAGGAAGTTTTGTGTGAGTTGGTAAAGGGCACCTACTCCGAGCTGGTGCAGTTCCTCTAGCAAGCAGCTTGACAAGGAGTGGCCCTTTTGTGTAAAGAAAAAGGTATCTCTTCCTTCTAATAGTCATAGTTGGGGTACAAGACCACTTGCCCCCAAATATAGGGAGTAAACTGCACAAACATTCATTACGGTCCTGGAGTTGAGGTAAAGATTAAACAAGATCATATTTTAAAACAACCGGCTCTGTCTGAAACACAAAAAGCTGTCACAAATGTCAGTTCCCATCCCTGAAATTCTCTCCTCCCCTTTGTCGCTCTCCCATCTCCCCCATGCCATTATCAAGTAGGATTTCCTTACCCTTAGAGACAGAAAGGTCAACCCTTTTCCCCTACAAGAGTCTCTTTGCTTCAGAACCAGAATTGGATAATTGAGTCATATACCCTGCTCTCATGTAGGACCCCACCCCCACCCCCATTAATTATTCCCAAAGTGTATTTTCCTTTCAGGGTTATTGTGGATAGACGCTGAGGGGGACTAAGTGCAAGGAGCATGAAATACGGCTACCTTTCTTCATATGCCAATAGACCTGGTCAGTCCCAGCTGTAAAAAACAAATGAGTAAAACCTGTTTTTCCTTGTTTCTTAAATTATGTCAGTACCTGGCAGTTGTTTATGTTTAAAGAGTCAACAGAAGGCAGGCAGGGGACCAGAGAACATGATAAGTGTTTAAAGAATGTGATTTACTACTCAGCGATATGCCAGTGATGTGGCATGAATTAAAAACAAGTCTTCCAGGAGAAAAGATTTCTTTAGAGATGTAATTAATTGACCCGGCTTGGGTCTCTCCTTTTCCAGAGAAGTAGTTGTCAGTGAAATGCTTCCAAGTACTGCCCTGGCTGTAATTGTTATTCAAGTTCGTGCTGCAAAGTCATCTTCACTTAAGAATTCTATCATTCACCACCAAAAAATGCATAAGCTAGGCTTTTGTATTGCCACACACCTTGGGATTTATCCTCAGAATTAGGAAGCAAATGTAGCCAGCAATTATTTTAAACATTTGTTTTCAGAAACGAATTTTTCCCATATCTGTCAGATTTGGCTCAGGGTTCTTTTTCAATTTGATCTTTGTTAGCAGCATGAAAAACTGTTCAGTTAAATGTTCAGGCATAAGCAAGTCATTACTCCATATCTGAACTCTCAAGAGCTACTGGTTGTCATGGTAATATGACTGCACGTGTGAAGTTAACATTGGGAACCTTACGTTTACATTAAAATATCATCCACGTTTGCATGAACTCCTGCCCAGAGCATTGTGCTGGGTTTGGTTCTCCCCCTTCCCTGCTGTCCCATAGTAGTGCCAAGGGATTTCATATTTCAGAGCCAAACTTGCTAGAGTTCACTGCCTTTATTATTGATCTGTCTCAGACCGAAGCTGAGCTGTATTCGAAGCTCAACGTATGAGTTGAGAGCTGACTATATATGCATACTGTTAATCCTGCCAATTACTCTTTCCCTGATCCCCAATTTTTCTAGTGAATGGCTTTAGTTAGTTTCTTTATGTTGCCTCCCTCCATACCGGGATGTCTTCCTTCAAAGATCACCCCTGGACATGTTATGTTGCTATTACTCTTGAAGATGTAGGTTTCTTTTCTTTTCTGTCCCCTCCCTGCCCACCTTCCCTATTCCTTCTTCCAAGACCTCTTGGCTTAGGGCTACGATTATACTTATTCATCCATTTGATCGTTTTGTTTATTTATTGGATACATTTTTAGGACATGTTTACTATATGATAGGCTAGGTGCAGTGTCCCAGGTACACAAGGGCAGTAATTAGTTGATAAGAGACATAAGTTTTTGCTGACTATTCTGTTCTTGATCCAATAGTATGTGTATTTTGAGGATGGCAGCTACCTTCACAAAGGTTTGTAGCACACGAACTATGTGTTGAGTTGCACAGATTATCAAATAATATGCATTTACTTTTTGTTCTTGTATTTGTTTAAATGTTCTTTTTTTGAGCTAAAGGCTGGAATAAATAACCCAACCACTAGGAAGTGTCAGAGCAGGATCAATATGTTAATATGCAGATTATAATGGCTACTAAATATGATGTCATACATATCAACTCCTTCTCTCTACTTACACACACACACACACACACACACTAAAGATAAGAAACGAGTCTCCTGATCAATAATTGAAGAGTCACATTTTGGAGAATCTTATGTGAATTCCATGTGATGCCTCATTGTACTTCTGTATACACTTCTTCATGCTGCTCCTTATACTTGGCATGTCATTCCCATCCCTAATTCCCATTGAAAACCTGGAGAACACTTCACCTGTCAAACTTCTATTAAAGTATCACTTTTTACTTAAAGTAATTTATAGCAATAATGGGAAATAAAAGGATAAGAAATAATACTGAAAGCATTCTTTTTAGAACTCTGGAGGTAAATTTCAGCAGAAACAGTGAAGAGAATAGAATTAATTACCTCTGGGGAAAGAGCCCCAAGGTAAGGAGAGTGGGGTAGGAAATCATTGTTTCCCCTTATAGGCCTTGTAGCACACTATTAAACTTTTAAGTTATATATGTTATTTTGATTTTCAAAAAGGTAAATTTAAAAAGTTCTACGTGCTTCCATTAAAAGCATATTAGTTATTCTGTAGTATTTTTCACCAAATTATTTTATCTTTGTTTGGCTTATTTTTCCACTAAATTTAAGTGGACAACAGAATCAGATGAACAATAAGGCATAGAATTTGATTTCAATATCTTGAATAATCACTTGATAAATTCTGTCATTTCTATCTATATGCCTTCTAATTATAATCTGCTAAGAAGACATCAGATTGGTGTTAAAAAAATGTAATTCTGTAAAAGCCTTTCTACCTAATGTTAACTAAATGTTGAGGTCTACTGTGTACTAGTGGAATCCTTAAGAATATGAGACAGTCATAGATTTAGAAAGATATTTAATCCACTCTAAAGATAAGATATTGAATTAAGTAACATCTACAAATCTCTTGCATGCATCCTTCCAAGAATCTATATGTCTATATCTACTCCCTCCCTTCCACTCTTTCTCTCTCTAGATACGGATACAGATGTCTATAAGTTATACTTTTTAAAATAGGTGGACAATCTGCTTTAAATGAACTTTGCAAAAATTAAAAATCTAGGAATATCCAGAAATCTCCTGTGAAGAAGGGTAATGAGAGGAATAGAGCTCTCAGATATTAAAGCATATTGTGCAACATAGTAATTTTTAAAATGCAATTGATTTATTAATGAATGAGCTAGATAGAGGATAGATAGATAACTTGTAAGGAACAGAAAACTCACAAATACATATGTGAAGGTAATTTATAAATGTGTAATTTCAAATCACAATAAAAAGAAGAATTTTTCAATAACGTTTTTTATTTGGAAAAATTAATAAAACAATTTTTTTAAAAAGCTGGATCCGTTATTTCATGACTTACAGAAAAATAAATTGTTCTTTCTCATTCTTGCTGCTATTTCTCTTCAAATATCTCAACGAAGGTTGTGCTTTCATATTTATTTAAAAAGTTCTAGGGGCCGGCCCAGTGGCAAAGTGGTTAAGTTCTCGTGCTCCGCTTCAGAGGCCCGGGGTTCATGGGTTCAAATCCCCGGCGTGGACCAACACACCACTTATCAAGCCATGCTATGGCGGCATCCCACATACGAATAGAGGAAGATGGGTGCAGGTGTTTGCTCAGGGCCAATCTTCTTCACCAAAAAAATAGAAAGTAAATAAAAATTAAAAGTTCTAGTTGCTATAAGGACAAATAAAAATTTAAAATATGAGGCTTAATTCTCCCTGTTGAAAATAAGGAAGAGAACCCCACTCCCTTCATTTTCTTAGAAAACTTGCAATTTTAAATACTTTCTCTTGTCTTTGAAACGTATATAAATCCTTTTGAAAACTAGATAAGGCATTTTGTCAGCTTGATAATTCAGGAAAGTCTTTCTCAAGGACTTGGGAGCCATCTCCTTGAAAGGTAAAAACCCAGGGAGATAGCACCCCTATCTCCAAGTTTCTGTAAGAAGGTAGGAGCCTAACTTGAGTAGATGCCTTGCTCCAAGTTGCAAAACTACCTCCTTCATAAAGATATAAGAAGTTTGTTTCTCCTCTGGATAAAATCAAATAGCTAACACAAATGGTCACCCCAATTCCCGGGTAACTTTAGGAGGTGCTGTTAAGCCTCTTACTGAAGTACAAGTTATTGTTTATCTTGGAAACATGTATGTAACGGATTGTATCTGCTTGGCATGTAAAAAGTTAAGCTTTCTTTCTATCTTTGCAGTCTCTTGGTGGATTGCCTGTGATGCATGTCACATTCCTGTTTAATGCTTACTCAATAACAAAACATGTTTTTTTCTTTACTATTTCTTTACTACCTTTGTGGAGAGGATTTCTTGGTTGGAAGACAATTTGGTTTTAATTACGTTTCCCCAGTGTTGCTAGTATAGAATTTTTCTGCTGTAACTAGCCCTGTTCTGCTATTGGTTCTCTTGCCTAATTTGGGATTCTGACTGGGATCTCTGTGTGGAATGGAGTACTGTGGGATGGAGGTGGGACAGGTTAACTGGCACGCTTTTTGGGGGGAGAATAGGTGCAGAAATACATCAGCTGGAATTAAAACCAAGCAGGTTGATTCCAGAAATTCTTATTGCCAGTTTGAACTGAACTAAAATGGTATTACTAATGGTGATTTGGAGCACGGGCTCCCGTCTTCTGGTATTGGAATAGTATTGAAATATGTAACAAAAATGTATAAGTCTTAGAATTCCACTACCTTAATGATTTGAACTCTGCATTGAGCACCTGATAAAGTTTGTTCTACAAGTCAGAAACTGGATTCCTCTCGGCTTATTCCCGGTGAATCTGATGACGAGTGACTAGATTGTGCAGACTTTGATCCAAAGATGGAAATGAATCGTATGAATTCAAGGGGAGAATCTGTAAGTAGTTATTAAATACCTACTCTGTGTCTAGATGTGTGCCAGGGACTGAAGGAACACAAATAAATAGAATTGAGGCATTCTTCTTTTTCTTTGATCTAGTTGGTAATTCACCTGGAGGATGAATGTGAGTGGGCAGATCTGAAAGCAGGAAGAATAGTTCGGAACTACTGTAGTAGTCTGAACGTGAGGCAATGATCATCAGAATAGAAACAGAAAGAGATGGGAAGAAACAATTAACAAACTGAAGAAAGAATTAAAAGAACTTAATTCTTTATTCTTCTTCTGTAAAGGATAAATTAAAAGATATCAATGATCAATGATGGATGCCACATAATAGAGTAGATAAGAATATGGATTTTGGTGCCTGTGAGAACTGAATTCAAGCTCCAGATCTGCCATTTTCTGGATTCAAAAGTTACATGATTCTTCTCGATTTCAGTTTCATTATGTGTAAAATGGAACTAATAGTACTTGCTTCAGAAATTTATTATAAGTTTAGTGTTTTACAAACTACAGTTTGTGACTTGTTAATTGTGAAATTAATTTCACAATTTAGTAAGGAGCAACCAGCATTTTTATAAAAATAATTTGGAAGAAAAAAGGAGAATGTATCACACAGTAAGAATGTTTTATAACGCTGTTCCAGTGATGCATACACACACACACACGACACACACACATACGTGTGTATGCATGTGTTTGTGTGTGTGTGTGTGTGTATATAAAGGATGTATTGGAGTGTAAAGTAAAGTGTATTTATTGTCATGGATTGTGTTAAAAACAAGTTTGAAAATGCAGCATTATATAATACATGTAAAGCGTTTCACATGATACTAACACATAGGAAGAGAACGAGATTTGCCACAAAAATCAAGATAGGAGAGTTTCAAGGATGGGTTGATTAATGGTGTGAAATACAGCAGAGAACAAAGAGGATGAAATCTGAGAGAAGGTTATTGTTTTGGAAATAATTAACATGTAGAAAATCAAAGGCAATCTGCAAAACATGGACTCAGTCTGCAAATATTGTTAATAACATAGACAGTAACATTGCTTTATAATGTGAAATGATAGTAAAGGATATAAAGAAAAGCTATACGTGGAAAGAAATAGACAGATGATTTCTACACAGAAATTACAATAAACAATGAATAGCATCTCCTGCCGTTAAGTTTGCTCTTTAGAAGGAGGTGAAATCGTTACATTATATATATGGATATAGATGATATAGATATAAATATAGTTTTCTTGTTCTTGAAAAATCTCCAATTTAAAAAAAAAAAAACAATTTTAGTACCTGAGACACATGAAACCCTTATGAGACTCCTTTTTTTTTTTTTTTTTGCTGTCCCAGAGGGAATGATACTTTGGTTGAATTGTCAGTGGGGCAGGTGAGTCTGGAGATAAGCTATAAGGTTTCTCCATCTGGTGTCTGCAGACTGCAAAAACAGCAAGGCTTCCACTCCACGGGGTAAAAAGAAAGAAATACTTTTCTCCTGTGCAGATATCATTCCATCCACCTTTTCATAAAAATATCAGATTTTGGTTAAGGTTCTCAAGGTGTTCAAATAATTATCCCCAAATGTCTGGAGGGGATGGCGTGGAAGGAGAAAGTGGGAGAATTGAGACAGGTGGGCAGGAGGGAAGTCAAATACCTCACTCTTTTTTACCCCATTAGAAGGACAGCTTCACTGTTGGGTCCCTGTGCGCCTTCCTCTCACTCCACGTTTCCTGATCTATTCTCCACATCCCCTAGCCTTTAGCTCTTTTTCTCTACCAAATTCCACCTCCTTCCATTTTCTCTAGAATCATTCACCCTTTCCTACAAAAATTATATATACTTAATCTCCCTCTGTCTCATCTAGTGTCTTGTAAAATTATCAACTTTAGAGGTTAATTTAAATTTAAATTTCCAAGGCATTTTTCTCTGTTTAGTTACTTTTGCTCTGTGGAAGTTTTTGCCATGTATCTTTGTCCATAACTCCTCCACCCCACCCTATGGGGATAAAGAGTAACAAGAAAGACCCATATATTCTTGGTCCCATACATGAAGGGATGCAGAGTAATAGTGGGGATCTTTTCTTACATACTATAGCTGTACTCTCCCGGCTGTGATTCTCAACCATGGCTGTATATCAGAATTACCTAGGAAGCTTTAAACAATACTCATGCCTTAAGCCCATCTCAGACCAATTAAATTAGAGTCTCTGAGCATGTGTCCCAAATATCACTTGTCTGTAACATCCATTACACACTTAGTGTGTCACACACTTTGCTATGTGCTTTATATACATTATTTCATTTAATGCTTACACAAACTCTACAAGAGGTAGGTACTGAAAAAATTGATGTGATGACTTGAAACCATAAGGAATTGAAAAGATTATGTAAGTTGTGTCAGGTCCTCTAGCCAATACATGGTAGAGCCAAGTCCCTCTCTCTCTCTTCAGTCTATTCTCAAATCCATGCTACCGGCTTGAATGGGGAGTCAAAGACAAGTTTTAAACACAGAAAAAAGACCATCAAAGTTTTTCATTTCAAAAAGGCTGTCCCAGCTGTGTGAAAGATAGATTGGACAAGGCAAAAATGAAGACTTGGAGACCAATTAGGATTCCTCCTCTGAGTTGCTATAATTTCGTAAGTTTATCAACATCATTTGAGAACTGGGAATGCGTCTTATTTTCCTTTTTCTTACCAGCACCTAACATAGTGCCTGGAATATAGTATGTACAAATATTTATTGAGCGAGTAAATGATTACTATTATAATTATGTAGAGGCGAAATTATGAATGCCTGAACTAAGGAACGACAGTGGGGTTAGACGTTGGAAAGGATTAAAGAGCTAGTTGAATAAATGTTTGCCAGGCTAATAAATTAATGTTACTTTCAACAGCCAAAATGTTTGAAATTCAGAGATCTTTTCTAATATTCTTAATTCAAAGGACTAACTCTAATGGTAGGTATGTCACCTACCACTGGAAGACCAAAAAGAAAGCAATGGGGTACATGTACATAATGTACATGGGGTACATTATGGGTGCTCCTTAAATCATTCCATGCAGGCAGCCTCATCCTGCAGATCAGGCAGGTGGGGTACAGATTAGGGACGTGTGTAAAGCTCTGATTCTCAGCTCAGAAGACTGGATTCAAGTCTCTTTTTTGCAGGAGTAGGCATATCCCATTTGTTAAATCATAGCCTCTGCTCTGTCATCATGACGATGGAATAACTTTGCAGGGAAGAGATGAAATAATGATGAGTCCTTTTAAAACAATACTTTTGCTATCAAAATTCAAATATTGGTTAGACTGTTTCTAGTGCAGGGTTTGCAATACCTCAACCATATTTATAATTGAGGTTTTAACATGTATGTCTGGTGACTTACTGTCATCTGTAAATTTTCCTATTGTGACTATATAAATGCTGATATTGAAAGTTACTAAAAACTGAATCTAAGTCTATTATAAAAGTCACTGGGAAATTATTTACACATGTTGTCCATTATAAATTTTCTATAACGAGTGTATTTTATTTTTATAATCTGCAGAGAGCAGAAATTGTCATTTTAGAAGCCTCTAAAATTATATTTGCCAATGATTTTTATTTAGGAGTCAGAGTAGAAAAGAGAGTCATAAATTTAAAATGAGAAAAGTCATTTTTAGAGTTTTAATAGGTAGATTGCCAAATTTAGACTCTGAATACAATTTTTCAAAGGTTTCTATTGGATAGTGGTAGTCCAAGCAGGAAGATATACACAGAACTAAATGCACAGCACCTGATACGATGACCTGCTTCTGAAAAATCAGTTGGAACAGCATTTGTTCTACAATAATTGTCATGTTATGTACAGACAGAAACAGGACAAAAATGAAAGTTATTTTGGTTTCCTTCTATTCAACTTACAGACCATGACAGCAAGAGCACAAATTACGAGCTAATCTAAATATAAAAGTTCATGAGACTTTGCTAAATAAATATCCTGTTACTCAGAACACACTTAGCATCTGGACTGGGTGATGCTGCCACCAACTCTGGATATTTCAGTAAATTCAGCAACTGGATGGGATCATAGGATATATATTTTCTTTTTTAGCGAATTTTAGAGCATCGTAAAATTATCGGAGTTAAAAGAGAGTTTTAGGGCAATGTGGCTTTGAAATAAAGTAGATATGATGTAAGAAATTTATGATCAGAGGGTGGATTGAGGTGGATTAAAATGGCTGCAAATTCTTTGACACTCCTCCTATCCAGAAATGTGGTACGTGACTGCTCCCCTTGTGTGGGTGGGCTCTCTGACTGCTTTGGCCAACAGAATATAGCAGAAGTGATGCTGTGGCAGTTTCTGGTCTCAGGCCTGAGGAATCTGTTGGTTTCTACTTCCTGTCTCTTGAAACACAATTTCTTGAAGCTCTGAGTCATCAT